TAAATTGTGAATATTTTACCTATTTTACTATAAGATTGATGTTATAGTTCTTGAGTCATTTCAACCAGGTCTAGCTTTGAGTTTTCTCGGTACGTTAGATAAATCAAAAAAATGTTATCCCAATTAGTTAAATATTATGATTTCAATCACTGTGTGATGTGCTTCCACTTGGATGCACATAGGAAGAACTTTAAGTCTCCACGGATCCTTGCTTCTAGCTAAGTTCCACGGAAGAAAAGGATGTCCTAGCTCTACAAAGAGAAGCACTCAAGGAGGGTAGAGTAGGAAACCAAAGGGACTTTCGGAGGGAGAGTTTTCAAGTGAAGAAATCTCTTTCAATTAATTCCAAAAGTGTCACAAACTCTCGGCCAAAGAGAATATATAGGAAAAATTAGGTTTAAGTGTTCCTTGGGTTAGCCTAAGGTTAAGTGAAACCATGGTATGGTTACTTAACCTTAGGCGCCCAAAATTTGAATTCAAAATTCAAATTTTGGGAGCCAAACCCGGAACCTCCCATGTGCTCATCATTTGGCATGTGATTAGCTTCTCATTTGAATTGCATTTAGATCACACCATGTGCATGTGTGCCCATGGCCGAAATGCATATCAAATGCAAGGCTAATTACATGCTAATGAAAATACACATGCAACCTTAATTAACCCTAAATTCCAAATGACCTCTACATGTAATTCCTACACTACAAAGGCCGAAAATACAAGGCCCAAAAGAAAATACAAGGCACCAAGGCCCAACCCTATACTAACCCTAATCTAATGGGCTTGAGCTAAAGCCCAACAAAATAAAGTGATGGGCCTTTCTTGGGCTTGGGCCCACTCTTCATGCATCCTTCTTGCCATTGCTCTAGTAGTTGGGCCCTTAGCCCATGGGCCTCCTCCATCATCCCCTCCCTCTTGAAGAGGATTTGTCCTCAAATCCAAAGTGTCCTCCTCTTGGGTAGCTAGTCCTGTAAACAAAGAGAGATCAGAAACATTAACTTTATTTTTCATCTTTATAGCAAATAATGCAATTCTACCTTACATGACATATACTTTACATACAAATTAGTCTCATTTTAAATATATTTTAAATATATTTTAAATTTTTAAATTAAAAATAAAAATCACACTTTCTATCAATTATTAAATTAGTCTCATTTTAAATATATTTTAAATTTTTTAAATTTAGATACAAATTTATCAAAATTTTATATTAATATTAAATTGCTACAGAAAATAATTATAAAAAAAATATTATGCATGAAAAAAAATATTAAATGGTTAGAAAATAAAATCCTTTTAAAATCACACATTATATGTTAGTATTATTTAAGAATTTTAACTAGTAATTATTAGTAATATAAAAAAAAATCGCACATTTTCAAAATAAAAGAAAAAAATTGGAGGAAAATATTTTAATAATTATTTTAATTAGTAATTATTATATCTATATTTACAAGTGACAATTTTGATCAATTACTTAAAAAAGATTCTATATATCTTTAATGGTTCTGTTGTATTATTTATCCAATATTATAAATTTAATAAATACAAAGGTAAAATGTACTTCTTTTAATATTTGAAACAATTTCAAAAGTATTATTAAAATTAATATAATATTTAATTCATATTAATTTCAGGAGTGATAGGAATATCAAATCTTTTATGGAACAAAGTTGGTGAATATATATAGGGATGGCAATGGGGCCCATGGGGGCGGGTAATAATAAACCCGTCTCCGTCTCGCTGGATGAAAATTGGTCTCATATCCGCACAGGTATCTATTAAGCGGGTATTCATGAATTTCTTGAATACCCACGAATATCTATGAATATTTATAAATTTTTTAAGAAATTAAAAAAATGTTACAAATAATTTTAAGTTTATATTTAATGTCATTGAAATATTAAAAATAAAAATTGAATGTTAATTTTAAACTTGTATTTAACGTTAATTTTGTTGAAATAATAAAATAAAAATGCAAGATAATCAATAACTTAAAATACATCAATCTCACAACTAAGTTAAAGTCTCATCACAAAACTACAATAATTCAATCTCATAATTTCAAACGAAAGTAAACAACTTAAAATACATAAATTTTATTGGTCTAATCAAAGCTAGAAAATTAATCAAATTACATCTAACATAATTCTATAACATGCTTAACCCATGTTGGTAACTTCATCAACCTCACTTTTGTAAGAAAATAAGATGAGAGAGTGTAGTTTTAGTGTTATGTGGTACAAGAATAATTAATATATTTAAGAAATATTATTAAATGGGTACCTGTGGGTATGAATATCATCATACCTGCTCCACCTCATTTATAAACAGGTAAAAAATTATTCGTCCCCATTATCCGTGAGTACCCAATTAACCTATCTATTTATTATCCGTAACAGATTTTACTCACCAATACCCGCGAAATATTAAATGAATCATACGTTTGTATTAGACTATGAATTTATAAAAAAAAATTGACATATTATAATAAAGTTTGTGATGGCTAAGAAATAAAGATTCGGAATTTAATTTTAAGATTTCAACAAATAAAAAAATAGTTATTTGATTAGATAAATTAGAAATTTAGTAATCTTAAGAGCTACTGAATGCACTGGATTTTTACACCTAAAGAAATATAAGAAAATAAATTAACTAGTATTTTAACATGTGTATTACACATGCTAAATGTTTGTGATAGTAAATTATATATACAAGTAAATATTATATTTAAATATAAATAAATTATATTTAAAAGTTATATATAAATAAATATTTTTAAACATATAAATTATATTTTATATTTATAATAAATAATCTACTTATTTATAATTTACTTTAAAATTATTAAAATATAATTTATAGATATAATAATTAAAATAAAATTAGATAAGAAGTTAAAAGAGTTATTAAAAAAATTGTAAAATTTATTTTAAAATATTAAAATTTAATTCACATATAAATATAACAAATAAAAATTGAATTGTAAAGAACTTTAAAAAAAATCTCTAGAAATACTTTCATTAAATAAAATTTTCTAAAACCATTTTCATATAAGATAAAATTTCATATTTAATATATGAGAGTTGATGATAAATTAAACTTTTCTATTTATATTTAGTACAACCAAATTATTTTTCTAAAATCATAGATTTTTCTAAATTTGTAGAAATTTTTTTATTAAAAAATGTAAATATAAATTATCAATTATTTAATTTATTTTTATAATATAGTTTTATTATGTAAACTTTACTTTAATATTATATAATGAATTTTGTATTTTTTGACCTATAACTTTATTTGACTCAATTAGAAAAAAAAAAGTTAATATTTCCAATTCGATAAATTTTAATCAAGTTGGATAATGGATTCATTGGAATCCAAGCCAACCCACTTATACTCGTATAAGATATTAGGTTAAATCAATTATTCACTTAATTGTGATTTTAGTTCATTTAAAAAAATAAATTTTAGTTTGTAATTGAAAACAATAAATCAAAAATTAAAATTAAAAATCTTCAAGGTTGTGATTTCATTGATCATTATTACCCCCAATTTGAATTGTATGAATTCTAACGTAAATGACAATTTTATTTCTCAAGTTTCTTATCCTTTATACATGAAAATTAACACCTTTTATCTTATAAAACTCCAAATTGACCGTAAAAAATTTCTACAAAAGGAAAAAATTCGTTCTGAGAAGTCGATTAAATAATTAATCTAATTAAAAGCTTAAAAAATCTGTTTGATCATGCAAATACTCCAAACCTGTTTGTTTTAGGGTTTCATTAATTAACATATAATTCGATCATGCACTATGAATCGACTAATATAAAATTAAATGCTAAAATAACCTAAAAATACAAAGAGAAATCATTAATTAACAAAAAAAAGTCCATAGAAAATAACTACATCACAACCTCATTAAAATCCGTGACCATTTAACAAATGCGAAGTAGTTAGAAAGACAAAAGATAATTTTGGTTATTTATAATATTACTTTATGAGATCGTTTTGGAATAATAAACAAGAAATTGGAGATATCTCTAAAACGAGGGACAAAAAAAAGTGGCTAAAATAACAATCACGTATTAATATTTTAAATAAATTATATTGACATCCCTAGATTTCATGAACTTCACAAACTTCACAAACACTTAGTAATTTTTCCAAAAATCACCCTTAATCATTTTAAAAAATATTATATTAATTTCTATATTATTTGAAAAATATTATACTGTGACCAATGGATTGCTTGTAAGAGAGATTTCTATAATAATTTATAAATATATAAAAAAATAGGAGTTTCAATGCAAAATTTATAAAACTTCAAAAAAAAAATATCGGTGTAATTTACTATAATATTTTTAAAATTAGTTTCACTATTAATTTGATAAAGGCACAAATTTGTGATTTAGAAAAATGCGACACTATAAGAAACTAAGCTATGCGGAAATTAGTGACATATGACAATTATAGGAAATTATTTAACAATTTGATTTTTTTTTCTCACTTCAATGTTACAAATAGTTTTATCCATAACCACTTTACTTTTTTTTGTTTTATATAATTTTCTGTAATTTCCTATAATAAAATTTATATATATTTGTAACTAAGCTATGAGGAAAATAAACGTTGAAGAATCTAAATATTAAGGAAAACCATTAAAAAAATACGCTTGGTTAATTTTCATTATATGCATATATACTTTAAAGATTTTGTAAGAAATAGTACGGTTCAAAACCCAAAATTAAAACATATAAATTTATTAAAGATCTAGTTCAATTGGTTTAAACAAGATATGCAAATTGTTATAAATTCTTCTAATACGAGTTGAATTATCACTAATAAAAAAAAATAGATAAATAAATTTATCAAAAAATCCAACATAATTAATTGAGGAGAATTTAAGAGTGTTATAAAATATAAATCAACTTGATGTTTAGGTCGATTTTTGGATATAAACAACATGCAAATAAATTTGTACAATTATTGTCTTTTCACTCTAATAGTGAAAGGAGGTCACTTGGTAACAAATTTGAGAGCGAATTTGAGAAACCGCACGAACTTGACACACCACGTGTAATTTCTGGAGAATTATTATCCAATTCGAGACCAACATGCCTTGTCTTGATGAATTTGGATTCAACAAAATTTTCATTTTCCTACAAAGAAAAGAATCTCAAAGTTAGTTACAGTTAAGGTCTAGACTTTATATATATATATATGTATGATTAGAATCACGAATTCCATGTTATTTGGATAATGGGTTTAGGAAGAAAAAAAGAAAAGATTAATTGATGAAAAAGAATGATGAGTCTTACCAAAAAAATTTTATCCGTAATAGAAAGAAAAGGATGATTAAGAAGCATGTTGGCAGTGGACCTCTGAGAAGGGTTCTTGAGAAAGCACTTATTCAAGAAATCTTGACAAAGAGGAGTGAAATCGGAAGGTATTGGTGGTGCTTCCTTAAGAACCGCAAGTTTAAACATTAAGTCACGTAAGGTGGGAACTTTGTGCCATGCAGGTAAACCAGTGAGCATTTCAATAACCATGCATCCAAGAGACCATATATCCAAGGCTGCTTCGATTTGCCCCCTCACTGATTCTGGTGACATGTAATATGGTGAACCTCTAAACTTAATCTTCCAAAAGTCACCATCAAACACCTCTTCTTTCCTCTTAGACATTCCAAAATCACCAATCTTTAGTTCATACTCCACACCATGTTCTTGGGAAGGAAATAAAAGAACGTTGTCCGGTTTAAGATCACAATGAATGACTCCAAATTCATGAATCACAGAAAGCCCTTTCAGAAGCATGCGTGTGTACACTTTTACTTCACTCTCCAATAGTGATTTTCTCCTTTTGATCAAGTTTCCAAGAGAGCCATAAGGAGCAAACTCCATCATCAGATTGTAGACATAACCACTATTCTCTATGGAGGGTACGCCCCCAATGCACTGAACAATTTCTTTGCGACCATGGAATAAATTCAATATGGCTTCTTCTTTCTCCAAAGATTCTTCCCTGTGAGGCTTTGAACTCTTAACAGCTATCAACACTTCTTGCACTTCTTTTGGAAAAATGGTCGTAGCAAGAGAGACAGTTCCAAAGGAACCTTCTCCCAGAACCCTTATCTTCTTCCATTCGGTAAACATCGTGATCATTTGATGTTTCTTCACACCATTCTTGAATGAGCTATGAGTATATATATTTAGAAAACTTCGTGAAATTCGTGGAGGGAAAAAAATTCATAATCATCCGTCCTTTTTCATGTAATCTCAACTAATTAGATTTGCTATCTAATTAATAAATTTTCATAGAATGTAGTTGATATCAGGTAATTTATGATTGATTTCCATCAAGTGTTATGATATAATTCTATTTCTGCAAAATATATATATATATATAGTTAGATTTTAAATTAACGGATAAATTAAAATTACAAAAATTCAAATGGTGAGATGAAATTCACAAAAATAATTGAGGGCGGGATTTGCCAAATTTAAAAGACAAATTCTAAAGCAAAATTAAGTCTAATATAAATATTATCATTCTATAAAATACTTCTTTCTTAATTGAAATCTATATAGGGATTTGCCAAATTTAAAAGTCAAATTCTAAAGTAAAATTAATTATAATATAAAAATTATCATTCTATAAAATACTTCTTTCTTAACTAAAATTCATATACAAATATCTTGTTATCGTGTCAATTTTAATTATGTTAATAAATTTAATTTATAATCTATCGTGAAATTCTTGGAGGGAAAAATTCATAATCATTTCACTTTTTTATTATTATTTAAATAATCAATTCTGATTTATTCTACAAGAAAAAAAAAATAGATCACATATATATTTAGTTAAAATCTTTGTGAACATTAAATTGAAGATTAAATTTCTTCTGCAACTAATTATTTTATCTTATCTTTGTTTCTATTTATCATTACATCATTTATTATCTTTTCTTATATTGTTGGAATAGATCACATATATATTAAGCTAAATCTTCATGAATTTTACATGTAATCTCAGCTAATTAGATTTAGTTGTATAATTAAATTTTGATAGTCTGTAGTTGATTTCCAATAATTTATGAATGATAATTAGATAAATTTCTGTCTACAAAAATTTAGAAACTAATCTTACATTTTTTTTTTTCAAACAAAGTAAACCATGAGCTATCTACCAGAAGAGGAAGAAGATGAAATTCACAAATATAATTGAGTGCAGGATTTGTCTAATTGAAAAAGAAAATTCTAAAGAAAAATTAAGTTTAACACAAAATTATCATTAATAATATTCGTTATATTATTTTCGATGAAATAAATAAATTATCTATTTCATTATACGGGAAGTGGATGCAATCCTGTTTATTTTATTCTATATATTTAACTGTAGAGTTATGTTTATATTTTATCTTAACATGATAAAAGTAAAAAACTAAAATATATATTAAATGATGAAAATAACATCATTAATTATATTAGTGTGAATTATAGCACCTTTGAAGATATGTGAGATTAGATATAACTTCCGTTTTTTTTTTCCTGCAATAATTTCCTTAATTATTTGAAAAATATTATATTAACATTCTTTAAACATTACATTAACTCACTTAATTATTTAAAAAATATTAAATTATGATATCTAATAAAAAAAAGTTGATGGAAACATTAAAAATAAAAAAAAAATAAAAAAAATAAGAAAGTTGTGTCCAATATCACCGAATGTTAGAGGGTTTCATTGTAATTTACTCTAAATTATTAATACTAGATTAGTTAATTATTTTTTTGTTCCTCTTTTAATTTAATATTATTCAATGTGATCTTTCTATTTTTCAAAATTTCAATTTAGTCTTTTAATTTAAAATTAAAAAAACCACTATTCTTTTTATCTCCTATGTTCAATAACTTCGCTAGTGTCAACTTAAATGGAAAGATAACACTAAATAATTTTAAAAATAAATAATTAAATTAAACATTTTAAAAATAGAGAAATCAAATTAAATATTTTGAAAATAATGAACCAAATATAGTAATATTTTATATAATAAATTTATTAAATATTACTTAATAAATTTTTACCAAAAACTATAGTAATTAGTGTATTAACTTAAAAGAAATATGACTTATTTTAGAACTATTAAGAATGGGTCAAATTAATCTAAAACCAAAGAAAAGTATAACTTAAAAAAATCAAAAAAACTTTATATCTTAAAGAAAATTAATAAATAAAAAAAGGAAAACAACTCCTAGATTACTAAAGGAGTAAAAAGAAGAAAAATATTTTTTTCACAAACGATTGTTAAGAAAGAGAATATAATTTTTTTTTATATAAAAGCACAAATTGAGAGAACTTTATATCTTAAATAATCCTATATACCATTTAAAGAGCTGGTAAAGAATAATTTTCCTTCCTTTTTGGAAAGAAAACATGAGCAGGCTTTTCAATTCTCACAAAATAGTTTCCAATACGAATGATCTAACTTTTCCAAATATTTATAAAACTTTTGAGTTTGAATATTTTACATGTGGAATAGGTGTGAAAGTTGTCTTATTGAATAGTAAACACCATATTGTTGTTTTAAAGACAACTCATTTTTATGTCACTCTCAACTACTTTGTCTATAACGAAGAGTTCAATGCTCTTTTTGAGTCTTCTAATCTTAGAAACAATACTTTATTTTTAAGAAGTTTCATAGTTCTGATGAACCTATATCATCTAAATCTTTAGGAAGGTAAAGGATTTTAATTGTAAATATATAGTTCAATTTTTAGGAGCGTAGGCAATCCCATAAAACATCAAGGCTAATCTTTTTTATAAATAAATAATAATTTTTATGCTTTAAAACAATCAGACACACTATGTGTACGCATGTGTGTTAAATATAATTTATTATTTTGGTTATAATATAATAAATGTCTAGCATATGCAATACATTGGTTTAAAAAATAAGTTTATCTAGAAATTTCCAAAATTAGATAAACAAAATAAAGAAATTAGCCCAATAAAATTGTCAAAAGTTTCATATATTGGATAAAAGAGTCCATGGCTTATATGTGTATTTGGATTGGTGATAAATAAGTTGAACTCACCATGATTCTTGCTTTTGTCGTTAACTTACCATGATTTCATCTATTTGTTAGATCCAAAAATCATGACGAGTTCAACTCGCTGCCAATCCAAACACACACTAAACACTGAAATCATAAACCTAACATCATCGAATGACCATCACTTTTATCCTTGAAGCATTACTCTCTCTCCTATATGATTTCTAAAGTAAAAATACTAAACAAATAATCTCCTAGGTAGTAGAAATCATAATAAGGGTCTGTGTGGATAAATTTTTCCAAAAACATTTCTTAGAGAAAAAAAATGGGAAGATAAAATGAAATAAGTTTTTCCTTTTAACTTATGTATTAGCTAATTTGTACTTTTTTGGGGAAGCTATATAAAAGAGCTTCAACAAATTAGCTCATACATAAACTAATTTTATCTTAACTCATTTTTCCTTCCTATTTCTTCCTCCTATAACTGCTTCTAGAGGTTTATCCAAACAAACCCTAAACAATCCTTCAAGCATTATAAAATCCTTCATATTTATCCAATCACAAAAAAATTATTTTGTATTTAATATATAAGAGTCAATGATAAATTAAAACTTTGTATTTATATTTAGTACTTTTCTAAAATCATGAGTAGATTTTTTTAAATTTGTGGAATTTTTTTATTGAAAAATGTAAATATAAATTATCAATTATTTAATTTATTTTTATAATATAATTTTATTATGTAAACTTTACTTTAATATTAAACATAGTATTTTTTTTTTTTGTTTTTAGAATTTATTAACTGTCGCCCTTCCGGTCCGTACTTAGGTCACTTATGGCTTCTCATTTGAAGAGTAAATACAACATCTTTTCTTCTTTGTCATATTACAACTACAACTTCAAAACCACGAAACACTACCATTTAGTTTTCACTTCATTACCCTTAAATTTTTTTCTTTTTCTTTTTTCCCACTAGTATTCTCTATTCTCCTTCGGAGACAATTTTCTTTGAGGTATGCTAAATTCATTTATCTAAATGCATTTAATTAACTAAAAAATTGTGTTTGACATTTTTACTCAGGGAAAATACATTTCAATGATGCTCAAATTGAACCCCAAATACGTCAAGGTACCTCATTGAGAAGAAAACTCTCGAGCAAAAAATCTCGATTCGAGGTCGAGCAATAAAGCAAGTAGGACCAGACAACCCTGAGAGGGAAACCAAAGGAAGAAAAAAGCAAATTTCAAGACAATCGAAGGAATTCCAAGGGAAGCTCTGAAAATCGAAACATAAGCATCGTGAGGAAGTTTAAAATGGTTCAAGAACGGTTTCATGAAGTCAATGTTGAATAACTGTTTCGATACGCACTCAAAGAAGAACATCACAAGTTTAGAACGTGCAAAGCCCGGTTATCAGAAGTTACAGAGAACAGTTGAAGGAAGTTATAAACGACGAAGTAGGAGCGGTTGAGACACACCGCATCGAGCGTAGTAACCACCCATCATTAACTCCTATAAATAGGAGGTGTGACTTCGTTTAGAGGGGTCGAAAAATCATACTTGAGAACTCTCACAAGCACTCACTACTTGCGTATATGGCTCTCGTGTACGAGATTGCTAGGTATGACTTTTTGGCCACTCTTTAGTCTTTTCTTTTCATAGGACAATCTTAGTTTAGTATAGCGTAGTTATCATAGTTTATTTGCTTTCCAGAATCATTATAAGTTGTAACTCAACAATTATGTGAAACAAGCTATGAATTATGTTGTTAATTTCTATGTTGTTCACTCAATTCATTTAAACATTTGCATACATGAGACTTATTTTGTGGTAACTATCAATGAATATTTGGAAATCCATGCATGTTGAATTCATTGTATAGCCTCCATTTCCGTTCTTAACAAGAATCTAATAGTACATATCTAAATTGAAAAGTATTTTTGCTAGTTTGAATAAAAAGGGTCCATAAACGAAATTTCCCACGAACAAATTGGCACGCCCGATGGGACTCGTTTGCTAACAAACATAATTGAACTAGTTTTATGTATGTTTTATGAGACTTAAGAGTGGGAAAACTATGTCTACGTCTAGTAGGAGAG